TTTAGCTAATTGGAACCCATAATTTTGACGCAGTTACTGATAACAACGTGTGAATACAGCACATTGTAACTTTTTTGTTGTAGTTCCGCCCACTAGACAACAACATAAAAGCCTATTTTTTCGTAGTTTTCAAGTTCCGCGCCCACGAAGAGACAAGACAATGCAAGGACTTATATGGTGTCTTAAATACTCGAGAAACTGACGGCAATAATGTCAAAGTCTACAGTCTCTAATCTACAGACTAAAAGAAACAAAAATGACTCAGATTTTTCTGAATTACCGTCAATCCCCGGGTCCGCGACAGACTCTCAACACACTCACCCAATCTCACGAATATTACAGTAGAAGACTGAGAGTGTCCACTGCAGCGAGAAAGCCAAGTTTGTTCGAGAGAAAACTTATCAGTTAGTTCGCGAAGCGGGATAGCTAGGTCTGAAAAAACTCGAACCAGAAACTAAAACTGTCATGTTCTGCCGACTGTGAAAGAAACGAGAAGAATATAATGCTTTAACAAAAGAATGTGGGGATTTGCAGAATTAGACATTGTATTGATGCATGGACAGTCCCGGACACAGCAGAGCTGTAATTAACAATAATCCGACACAACACGAAAAGGTGTTTTTAGAACGGTGCATTTGTATTTGAATTGAATATACCGAATGATGTTTATGAAGGTGAACATGGCTGCCAATCATTTAATTCTGAAGTTACTGCAATTTTAACACACCATCCGAATATAACATAAATGCAAAAGGCTGTTGCCGGACAATAAACTAGGATGTCAAAAATACGCAGAAAGTTCCTTCATCGAATAACATGTGGACTGTTAATGTGAAAATTTATAAGAAATTAATTGTTCGTTTCTGAGTGTTGAATGAGGACGGGAAAGCTATTTTTGGCGGTAAATATACTGTTCAAAGTGATGTGAACTGTGTTACGAAATCTGTATACTCGGCGTTTGTTGAATCAGCATTGGCATGACACCGTTTTAGTTCGACGTCAACGAATAATGCTATGAAAGGGTTAGTGAGAGTACAGTGACGCCTTGTGTCACATCAAGAATACTAAACTTTTTTGTTGTTGTTTTCTTGCCTACATATTAGTAGTTTGTACGGTTTATAATTGTGGTACAATGTGATTTTGACGTGTAATATACGCATGTTTTTGCGTAAACGCGGTCACTGACAGTTGCACTTCAGACTTTCTATCTTTGATATTTAACGCCGACAGCAACAACCTCATAACCACGCAGTTTTTAAATACCACGACGTCACATAGTTATTTATTGTGTCGATCGCTAAGTGGCCACACGGATACCTGTCCAAATTTGCTGAGGGCGACTTCTGGGTTACATAACACGACCAACTTTCTGTTTGCTCATTTAGAGTAGATGCAAATTGTCACATGTGTGTTGTAATCACCATAGATGGGTTATATGGTATTCAGCATTAAAGTTCCGCCAGTAAAAATCGCTGTGACGGAAATGATTGTATTGATTATGTCAAAGGGAATTAACGCCTGTATAGCCCAGTATTACTATTTACTACGCATGTGTATCTGTTACGAAGCTAATGACAGGCACATTAGACCACAAGGTAAGCCGCCACGTGCCTTGATTTACAGTTCTCTGTTGGCAATATGTGTTGATATATGTCATCTTCGGTGGTCGTCTAGTTACTAAATGGCATATATAACATAGTGTTTCTAGTTCGAGACAGTATAATTTCTTTTACCTCATTTTGGTGAGTACTGCTGTATTGAGTTGGGTGTGTTATGTCCTATCAATACACATTTTAAACACTCGGTGGTTTATTTAAAACAAAATATTTGTGTGTTTACAGTGTGCTTAATTTTCCACAAAGTGTTTTAATTACTTTAAAAATAAATACCATTCCGGTATTACTACTGTTTTGATTGCAAATATGTGTGTTTTATAATATATTAAAGGTGTTTTTAATTTGAGCTGCGTTTAATTGAACAACCTGAAAGTGCTCCCAAGATTTATGGTGCAAGCAGACGCACAATCAGTATACAAGTATGCAAAACTAAGTGGTCGACCAATCAACATTAGTTATTTTTGTAATAACAAATATGCGAGAATGAGATATTTTTATTTGAGGATAACGTAAAATATTTTCAATTTCAGAATACTTAGAAGATAACTGTGGTGAAAGTATTGTGAGCTATGGCGGTCGCCTTGAATCACAGAGATATGCCACTTACCGAAATAATTTTGCGTGTGACGTAATTCTGGAAGCACCAAGTGTAGAACACCAACTAATAATCCTGGTAAGACTAATTCTAGACTGTATGTGTTCTTTTATATGTACACATGACCTAACCCCCACAAATTTATATTTAATTCATGAATTTGTCAAAATCCTTCAAACCAGACATAGTAACAATCTGTGTTATGGTTTCATTCATTGCGACTAGTTGTATAGCATAGTAGAATCCATAATTTGGCATAATATATTCAAATGCATTAATTGTAGAAGGTTACGATGGGAAATGTGGCAACCGCGTGCAATTTCGTGGTGTGTTAATCCGACACATTTGCTGTTACGATGACATTGGTACGGCAGAGACATCTGCAAATTCTTTGAGCTTTGAACAAGATAGTATAACTGGTATAAAAAGTGAACATACAATAGGAAGATTTTCTGAAATAAAGTACACTTTCTAGAGTGATGATCAATAGGCGCGACGTCACCGCATGACGGCCCTGCACGGAAGAAAGTAAGCATTGAACGAACGTACTGCCCCAAATAAATTTCCACGACTGTTTACTTCCAGTGAAGCTGAACATAGTCATTTATACGGATGTTTGCTTTTGTTATTAGTATGACTACATAGATTTGGAATACTTTGATGATACAACTTGTGTTGACTATATTGAAATTCGTGATGGTGACAGTGATTTATCAAACTTGTTATTGAGGGCTTGTACAACAGATATAATTGAAGGGTACTATCACGAGTCAACATCGGACAAAGTAATGGTACGAATAGTTACTGATGAAACCACCACTTCAAAGGGATTTTCGTTAACCTTTACTGCAGTTAAATGTAAGTATTGTTTTGACTCATCAGCATGAATAATATACTACTGTAGATTAGGTCGGAGAAGAATCTTTCAAAATAATGAAATTTCTCACGGTGCATGGTATAGGGAGAAATTATTGTTTTGTTGTCACCTGGGTCCTGCTTTTATATGAAGGAGCATGCAAAACTGATGTAGGACAATGTTCACCCTTTTTCACTTGAACGGTTCTTTGGTAATTTACCGTATTACTTGTGCTAATACTCGGAAACGTTGTGAAATTGTTATGAGCCATCAAACATTGTATTCACATAGTTTTACATATTATCATAATTAGTTTTGATATTTGCAATATGTTTATGTATTCAGTTAATAATTCAGAATGCACCAACGAGGGAATGTTTGAATGTGGTAATGACTATTGTATCAGCAATGATCTTACTTGTGATGGTATCGACAACTGTGCGAACAACCAGGACGAAATAGTTAACAATCAACCCTGTCCAGTCGTTGGTCCTAATACAAATAAGCCTGATCGTCACAAGGACAATACCAAAGGTAAGACACGATCTATTCATATGCTGTAATATTTACGTCGACAAAATTTGTTTTTTCATTAAAACAGGGGGTAAACATTGCAACTGAAACAGTGTCGTCTGTACATCGTTATGTTCTATCAATAAACTCTTTAATTACATTTGTATCCCTGCAAACATTTGGTAGTTTATTTTGAGAAAGAATACATTTGGGTGTTTACCAAGTGCCTAATTTCCCACAAAATGTGTTAGTTACTTCGAAAAACACATCTCCAAAATTACTACTGCTTTTTTCGAAAATACGAGTGTTTTATAATATGAGTTATTACGATAATACCGTAAAGTATGCACGAAGACAGTACAGCGGATGAAGTATCGACCGATGCGACGGAGTACTGTCTGAGTGCATACTTTACGGTATCCTCGTAATAACCTCATTATTATACATCTTTTCCTCCCAATGATACATCACGGGAATGCCGAAATCCTAAAATTTTAGAGCAGAATCAGCGAACTTCTTTGTGTGCAGCCAAATCCTTGTTGCTGCCATGTTTGTTTTTATTATTTGAGGACGCTTACGCGCGTAATCATTCCATATGTGGAATTTGCATTTCCTAATTTGGTAGGATGAAAATACCCTGTAAAATACCGCAATATTACGGCACGCTGTAACTTATGGTGGTACGGTGACAGATGTATAGTAATATACTGTAGGTGTTTTATTAAATATGTGAGAATGAGATATATTTAATTGATGATATCTTACAATGTTTTCAATTTCAGTATACTTAGAAGATAACTGTGGTGAAACTATTGTGGGCTATGGCGGTCGCCTTGAATCACAGAAATATGCTACTTACCGAAATGATTTCCAGTGTGACGTAATTCTGGAAGCACCAAGTATAGAACACCAAATAATAATCCTGGTAAGACTAGTTCTAGACTGTATGTGTTCTTTTATAGGAATTCCCACTGTTTGTTTTTCATTCAATAGTTTTTGCGAAAGAATGACGGTATACATAACCATCACTAGTACACGTCTATAGATAATGATTACCTGCAACGGAGATGCTGAATTGTTCAAGTTACTGAAACGACCACGCCCATATTTCTGAAAGCACGCCAAAATTGTAACTCCATGTGAATAACTGTTAATTATTGTTCGAGTTAAAAAATTTGAAAGTTAAACAAACAAAAAATATATGTTGCCCGTACCTCGAAGTTTGGTTAACTGTTATTTAATGTTTGAGTGTAATGTAAGTGCAACATAAAACTCTATATGTATGTTGCTAGTAACTCGAAGTTCTGTTAACTGTTTATTGAACATCGGGTTACAATTTGGGCTTGGTTCCGCAAAACTGGGCGTGGTTCCAGAAATGTGGGCGTGGTAATTTCTGTAACTTGATGTTTTCGTAACTCGAATAAATCAGCATCTCCCTCAAATAACAAGCAGCCAGGGTAGCTCTATGGACATGTATGACCCCCCCACAAGTTTATATTTATTCCATGAAAAACCTACATATTCGTGCAATTTCGTTGTGTGACACTCGTGAGATATTTGTTGTTGTGTCATGATTTATATTTTCATGTATTTCGGAGACTTTCACGATTGACCCTGGATAATCCACACCTGCTCGTAACTTGTCATGATCAGGTTCATTCGTATGTTAGGGAATTAGTCAATGGAACAACTGGCTGATATAATGGTCGACTATGCAAGTTGGTTAAGTCAACAAGACGCCTATAAGTATATATGAGAGTTATGTCCCGACATCGAGGGCAATTAATCAGACATTATGGCGTGTTGAATACTTTGCGTGATTGGCTATATGTGTGGAGGCCACGCCTCGAGCTTTTAAACTTCTCTGTGAATTGGCTAACAGTTGGAAAGTGAATAAAGCTTATCTCAGTTAGTTGTAGCAAGCTCACCACGAGGCACACGTCTTAACGCGGTCTTGGGAGAGTTCCGATGTGACTCTGAGTTGAGAGGTTGAAACGATTCGATTCTCTGTGTGTCTTTGTTCGATAGAAAGGTGGAGAATCCCCGAACTTGGTACCTCTGACGTGAAGGTTTAATAACACTCAAATTAATCTTTCACATTACGATGACATTGGTATGACAGAGACATTTGCAAACGCTTTGAGATTTGAACGAGTATAACTGGTATAAACGTAAATATACAATAGAGCCAACATGCTGTGTTGATACTTGTGATGGTTAGGCTCGCGGCAACAACCAACAATTGATTAAGTTAGATGGCTTTCATCAAACAGAGCCAGAGGTGATGGTCGAATGACCAGTTTTGTTTTGGTGCAGAAGGAATGTCAGATAATAATCTTTTTAACCTCTTATTAGAGGCGTCTTCCATGACTATACAGTTTGTCTGAAATAAAGTACACCATCAATGGAGACAAGGAGTGGTGATCTATCGGCGTGGCGTATGTATTTGTTGTATAATTGAACAGTTGAATAGATGTATTGAACAAATGACCGTCCCAAATGTTTTCTACAGCAGTTTACTCCCAGTGAAGCTGCACATAGTCATTTATACGGATGTTTGTTTTTATTAGTATGACTACATAGATTTGGAATACTTTGATGATACAAGCTGTGTTGACTATATTGAGATTTATGATGGTGACAGTTATTATTCAAACTTGTTATTGAGGGCTTGCTCAAACGATATAATTGAAGGACACTACCACGAATCTACATCGGACAAAGTAATGGTACGAATGGTTACTGATGAAGCCGTCACTTCAAAGGGATTTTCGTTAACCTACACTGCAGTTATATGTGAGTATTGTTTTTTGTCTTCAACATACATAATACAGTACAGAAGATTAGGTCGAAAATTGATAAGAATACATCATGCCTTATTGGGGATTTCCCATTTGTTGTAATGCCAGTGCTTCTAAGTCAATGAATGCGTTTTGCGACTATAATTATATTTACGCAGTTTGAACTGACCTAGATTTAACAGGGACGCATAGTTCTGTGTTGTTGACAAAGTGCGAGTTTTCATTAAGTTCGAAACACTATGTTTCGTTTTTATTAGGAAATAATTGTTTTATTCAAAAAGACATCAGGGCATCCGATGTTTTACATCAACAAGGCAACATGACACAGCAAATATTTACGGCCCCTATTTTTGTTAAATCTTCGAAAAAGCGTTCATGAAGACAATATTATTAGTACCTGACTCGGGAAAAACACTTGCACGTATTTGAGCTTCTGACCTACATTTTACAAGGATGCGCGGTTCCGTTTTGTTCTCTTGTTTATTTTTATACTGTGTGCGTTCCACTGTAGTTAGTTTTGTTGGAGGAGGGGGGGGGGTGATTTGTTTTTCTTTAGATTATAGCAAATTTATATAACGCAAGTCTTCTGATGTTGAGCACTATCATTGAGGAAGGGGTATTTCGTCTCGCTTGGCTGATACCGCATACAGGTTTATTCATCCAAATAGTCAGCTGAAGTAACCCCTCGCTGTCCAGCTCTGTCGTTATCCCCTCTCTTTTACAAAATGTTACAAATACTCTATCCTAAAATTCTCTGAGGCGTGGCATGCATGTAAACATGCGATCAGCCAATCGTTGCAGTCGTTGGCATGATCACGTGATTACCAGCGAAGTGTCTCACGGTTAAAGCCTTGCGAAGTCGCCACTAGTAAATACAATAAGTAAAAACAATCTATTTATCAAATTCCTGAAATAAACATTTATAATCTCTATCCCTAAACATGCAAGTTGTTGATTCTAAACAATAGTGAAATTTTGAAGTGATATGATATTTTTACAATCAGTCTATGCCTGCGAAAACCAGGCGCCATATTGAACTTTCAGCTTGTGAATATCCTTGTATAAATGTTCATATAGCGCGGAGCTCCTCGGAGCACCCCGGATCTTTTGATCACTTCTCTTTACTTTAGAGTAAAATTATTGAAAATAACGTACATTTGGTCTTATTGAAAAACATATAAATAGTGCCAAAAATTACGTTTTTATGTGTTGTTGGACCCGATAATGTAACAATTACCGATAATGTATAATTAACCGATAATGTAACACGTATTAACCGGTATTGTAGCAAAAAGTGATTACCGATAATGTAATAACATGTTTGCAAATAGGAACATCAATATTAACGACATGCCAACACCATGTGTGGGGCACCTAAAATGCGTTACGGTCTGCAATTGTCAATGTTTGACGAAACTGATCAATAATGCTGTTATCATTGATATGGATATAATATCGAATGCATTCGATAGTTTTGATGTCATGAATAGTCATGAGACGTATATGAGTAAAAAGCTGCCAGAAATATAGTCGCTTTGTAGTCCCAAGCGATTTTTAAAAATGTGCTTCAGGTAATCATCGAAAATC